GACAGTAAAGTAAATATTTGGGGGTGGGATTCAGTCGATTTCCTCTTCATATACACCACCTTTTTACAAGTTTCCTTCTGAGTGCAGCCCCACGGTAAAACCTTTTACAGAGCATACCTATTTGAGGTAAATAAATAAATATGAGACTCCAAAGAAATAAAAATTACTAGATACTGCTAACAGTACTGCTTAAACACTACTTTCCCTTGCAGATAAACCTTGGAAGAGTTATTTCATTGTTTTACCAGCACAAACAGCTGTTATTAGTGTATCTTATTTATAGATGGTTCTTTGAGGGACTATAGTAATACAACAAAATATCAGTTATTTCATCACACTGGTGAATTTAATGAACCTGAAGGTGTGTGTTATTTTAGCACTTGCTATAGCTCCTGTGAAAACCCAGTGGTGCTAAAATCTGTAAACCTGTCATTGCTTAAGTAATAACCTTGTTAAAAGCATCTTCATTTAACTTACTTTAGCTCCTGCAGGATGTAGGTTTTATTTTATCTGTGCAGAGAGTAGGTGTTTCAAACCCAAACCACTTATTGTAAATATAATTAATTGTAGTTCATTAATTTATTCTGTGTTATTGCTTTTATTTTAATGCTTAGGTTAAATTAAATATTGTCTGGAATCTCAGTACCCATTTTCAATTTTTTGCAAACTCTTAGTTTATATCGAATTTCCATAGATACAGAAGTAAATTTTAGTCTGCACTAACGAAAATGTTCATTTTAATCTCTAATACTTCTTTATGCAAGGCACAACACACTTGTTCCCCTCCCCTATATACACTGTAGATTTTTTAAAAGTGTGTTTTTGTTAATCTGCTTGGAATGGATTTGAGTTTATTCTTGTCTTTTAAAAATATGAAGAAAATTGGATATTGATGGTAGGTGTTCAGAATTATCAATCGATTTCTGCATGAGCACATCTACAATTATTGAAATGCTGGCAATAAAAATGGGAACTCCCTCCTATTTAGAACTACTCATGGAAAGAGAGAGAGCAGGGAAAAGGGAGAGGGAGAATCAGAGACAGAGGCAGAGACAGAGAGAAGATGAAAGAGGATAAAAACTGTAATTTGTATGATTATAGCCTTAAGGCCAAAACAAACTTTCTATAATTACCTAGGACAGGCCAACAATGAGGTGTATGATAAAAGCTATATGTTAGCAACCACTTTGAAATTCTTAGCTAATTGCAATAATGCAGTCAGTAAATACTGACACACATTACATTACCACATAGAGAAGAACATTATAAAAGGTATTGGTGGCCAACCACTGTTTTATTGCTGAGTGAAATTAGTTCAACAGCTACTAGCCTGATAGGTAGACGAAGACTTGTGTCAAATTGTCTGGCCCCAAAAGGTATCAATAGAATTATAGGATAGAAATAGTATAGTAAGTCCATGTGGCAATAAGTTCAACCTGTCAAAGTAGTTTTATTTCTGAATCTATTATTTTTAATACAATTTTTATAAGGTCATGAAATTCTTGTTTGGTTTATGTTAAAGTCTTAGAAAATTGATAGCTGATGTTCACCTCTACAAAAAAATTCCCAAATGAACTTGAATTATGTGCTTTAAAATATAATATCAAACTGATTATTATAACCATCAAAATATTTTTGTAAAATCCAAAAAAAATTGTAACCTGTTATTGAGCATTCCTTTCCACTCCTTTAATTATAAATGTTATTTTTAAATTTGGGGCTAGAAAGAGTGAAGAGCAGAAATATGTCAAGAACTACAACAATTTCTTGGGTTGTTTCTAGTGTTAAAAATAATATTAAATTTAGGCCCTGTTTTCTATTTAATGATGTTTGTCTTTTATTTATTTATTTTTTAATGATGTTTGTCTTTTAAGTGAATATTTTTAGAGTTATCGATGTTCAGATTTTTTGAAGTATGCCTCATTTAAATCATATTTAAATATGTAGTAAGAAAACTAGCTTTAAACTTGCATACATACCATTGCTGATATTCTGTCTCATTTTGTAATATATCTATTTCTAAGAACTTTTTAAGCAATTCAGTTAACGTTTATATGCCTTGTATACGTGACATTTTTAATCAGAATATTAAACAAATATGTTAATTTTTGTTTGGTCTGACAGTTAGTATAGTTTCTAAATAATAACTAGACAAGAGATTACACAATTGTATCTTTCAATAAGATACACTTTAAATGTACATTAAAGTTAGAAAAATTAAATGAAATTCACACTTATATCAAGGATTTTTTTAATTAAATCTATTGGTTGTTGGTATCTGTGAACTCTTAAGAATAAACACCTGCAGTGTTTTATTATGTAAAAAGGTGGTTTAATTGCATCATATTTATCACAGACAAATCAAGCCCTATTCAGAAGATAATAATGACACAGTAATTGGATCAGTAATTGGTTCAGGATGATTCAATATTGTACTAATAATCATAAATACTGCTGTCTTCTGCTTTGATACAGGGCTGACGTGCTAATATAGATTGGATTTAGAGCAATAAATATTAGTGAACTGGATCTAGTAATAATGTCTAGACCTTTAGTTTGGCTATGCTGGCCAGAAGCAGGTATAAAACAGATGCAAAACTTGGAAATATATGAATCTTAAATTATGATATGAATTCAATCAATGTATTTTATTTGCTTTTCTTATCCATTCATCTTTGAAACTACTCTCTTTAATACAGAAGTGGAGGGGAGTAGAAATAAAGACATTTCTTTATTTTTCTTATAAAAGTGATCATTTTGTGGGAGCAGTGTAGTTCTTACATTTGATCAAGCCTGGTTACCATGGATGATGTGACATGATGACCTGGTGGGCGAAATTATTCACGTGCCAGTCATGTAATGATGGATAAGAAAATCATTCCCATTACCACACTGTGTTCAGCAGACACTTGGCGGTTAAACAGGACTATTTCTTAGCCAGTGTGGTGGCAGCCTTTCACTGAGAGCCAAAGGAGAGGGAGGCTCATTATATAGGAAACAATGATCCTTATTCACTCAACATGGAAACTTGCCTTACAAGAGCACATTGGACAGCTCTGGGCTGGAACAAAAATGCCATATCCCCTTTTATCAATGGAACAGAAACCCAGGATCAACATGCCTGGCTTGGAATGCTGCCTACTGGTGATAGAAATGGATATATTCAGGCATTTGTTTATTTATGATAATTTCCATGGATGGTGGTGTGAGGGGGTGGGGGTTGCTTACTATCTACCCCTGCTGGAATAGATCTGTTTTGTGGGAGGAGGAGGGGACAGCTCACAGGTGCCAATAAAGAACGTAACTCTGCAGTTTTAACTCTGAAGTTAATATGAAGTCATATGTCCACTGGAGACAACTAACTAGATACGTAATGTTTATAATGGGACAATATTTTTTCTATTATTTTTAACCTAAACATAGGATAATGGCATGCAGAATATCTACGCCCAGGACCAAAAGAATGTCATGGGCTACGTATGGAAGCAATGTTTCCCGGTAAAAAACTTGAACATTATGACGCATTTCCTAAGAATAATAGAGGATGATGGGACCAATGAATCTATAGAAGATTTTGACTATCCTGTTACTCTTCTCTTGCCTCTGGATTTTGTTATTGACACAATGGGAATCTGAAATGGAATTTACTCTCCAATAGGCATTAAGAAAAAAATGAATATAAAGCTTATCAAGTATATTATTTATAAGAATGCTCCAGGATGAGTGCTGAGATTCTTGCATATATTTTATCTCTCTTCTAATTATTTAAAGAATCTTTGAAGGCAGGCACAGAGTGGAGTGATTATTTCCTCATTGCCAAAGTCAGGCAGGAAACACAAGTGGATGAACAGCATGTTGGAAGAAAAAAGAGCCAGAAAATACCATATCAGTGTCCTTGAAGAGATTTTATATAACTCAGTAATTCTCATTCAAGGGAACTGGCTTCAAGTTGTACTGGTGTTCCCAGCCCTCCCTCTTCATGCAAGGTATGGATGACACAATTTTCTCAGCATATACTCAGTTGAGTATTTCGATTGGCATCCATTTTTCCACGTAGGCATGGAGGGATGTCTTCATCATTTGCAGGAGTCTGGGGTTACTGCCAAAGGCAATGATCCAGCTCCACAGGCAAGGGAAATAGATAATTTTGGTTCCCGAAGCAGCATTGTGTCCAGTAACACCTGAGCAGTGAAAATCCTGTGGTGTCTTCATTTAAGAGCCAGGAAATTCCATGTGTTTATGGAATCAAGTTCTCTCCTAAGTGGAGTGACTGTTTATTGTTAAGTACCCATGAAAGGAAATCTGTAGTCAACCAGCAGCCAGACAGTCACACGTTCACCATCCCTCTATGCCCCAGTGGCTCCAGTTCTGAACCAACTGCTCAGGAGTTATAGGATAACTAATTCACTCGGTCCTATGTCTTCCGGAAACTATGTGTGTAGTTGTGGTTCACTGGTTTAGTGACGTGAATGAGGGGAATGCACTGTACTTCAAATCTCTCATTACACCTTAATTAGGACCCCAGCTAGAAATATCAATGTTTTAACAACTGTGGCAGACAAGGTTTCTTTTCTTTCTTTAATCACTTTTTGTAAAGCAATTGACGTTGTTATTGTTGTTGTTGCTGTTTCTTTGTCCTCCGGATTGAGGATCCACAGCTAAGTATCTTAACAGGAGAACTAAGGCTGTGGTCTTTCAGTTTGCATCCTCAGATTAGTCAGAGACAGTGTGATGCATGTAACACTAATCATAGAACATATATTATTAAGGAGTAACAAATTTATAATTATGAAGTTTTTGTTTTTCTTCAATATTGTTTTCAGTGTTTGTGGATTTTTTTTTTTAAAGCAGGAATTTTGCCTGGAAGCAAGTCATAATTTTTTGTTTTGTTTTGTTTGTTTGTTACTTAGCAAATTCTCAAGTAATTTTAAAAATTTCACATTCGTTTTTACCTTAGAAACTTGCCTTGGGACCACCAGTTACCAGTGTTCTTAACTTACCTGAGTAACTTCCTCTGTGAGGTACAAATTTGTTGCAGAAAACTCATCTGAGTGTTTGTAACATCTGTATCATAAATAATAAAAACCTAGTTTTTAGGTGCCAGTATAGTAAAAGTCTTTAGAGCAAAATAGGAATAACATCTTGTTTTACTTATTTACAATTATTTAAATATTTACCTTTCACCAAAACAAGGTTATAATAAATTTCCAATTAACAGCAAAATACAATTAAACCATTACTTCAAAAATCCACCTTTAAATCAAAGAAAGAAGACAAACATACTAAAATTTAATCTCTCCTTTGGGGCAGGAGACAGCTTACAGGTTCTAGTCAGCCAGCTAAATGACAGTCAGAAAAGATCATGTGACTGGGGTCTAAAAACTAATTAATCTCCATAAAGCTGTAAGTGAGGTAGGTAAGATGACTTGAAATCTGATTACATTATTGCATTTAAGGGGAGAAAATGCAGCATGTATTTTTCATGTTGATTTTAACCACCTGAGCCCTTAATGACATTTTGTACCTTGGAAGAAACCTCATATTTCATCCATATTTAAAAAGAACTACAAAGATGCTACCATCATTAGTATATGATTTACACATTTGGTGTAAATAATATGAAAATAAATCATGTAGGATGCCTTTGTAAAGTTTTCAAAGAATAAGTAATTCTTTGAAAAGTAGATTCATTGTAAAAAGAGCAGACATAAATCCTAAGAGTAAAAGAAATTGACAAAGATATGTAAAGGAAATAATCATTTTACTATTCCTACCTCTATTTCCATAAAAAGCAAATGATTAGGTAGTATATTTTAGCTATTGGACATTTATGTGTTACATTTTTATTAGTTCTAAAGTTAAAATCCTATTCAAAATTATTCTGAAAATTGATTAAAATATGGTATTCTCTACTGCTTCCATTATTCTAGTCACACACAACATATATAAACACTTTGAATGTTAGAAGGATTCGTTCAGAAGCCCATGGAAACTTCTTGTCTATTTCACAGCTAATTTTTTTTTTTTGGTACTGTTTTAACATTTAAGTAAAAGAAACTTCCAAGCAATGGTTCTTTAAACACACCCTCCTTTTATCTGCAGAAGAACAAGGATTATAGAATAATAATTTGGAACATTGTCTGGAATGCTCTGAAAATAATCCTTATTAGATTGGAATGAGCCCTGAAAAGTGTGCCTGCAGGGATGGGGTGTGAGTATATGTGTGTAAGATAGAGTAAGAAAGAGACAGTGATTTGTCGTTTTATTAATTAGCATTATCAATCATAGATTATACAACTCATAAACAGTCTGCAAAAATTTTATTTAAAAAATTGTAAGTGCTGCATTTGGCTAAAAATATAAGCCAGGGAATTTATTACTCTGAGGTAATCCATTGCATACTGAACACAGAGAGAGTTGACAGGCAGAATATGTCCTATACTTTGTTTTATTAAAATCATAATTATTTTTATAATAATATTAATGAATGTGTAAAGAGACTGAATCATGAAAATAGAGTACCTCTCATTGAGAATCTGAAAACACTTTATAGATGAAAGACTCTTTCTGCCCTATATTTTACATGAACAAGTTTTTGTGAGTTAAGGTATATTCACTATTTGAGGACAAAAGTATCATTTTTCATCTTGTCAAAAAGACTAAGAGCTACTCAAGTTCTTCCCAGTATGCAAATTTCAGAGGAGCCATAAAGAGTGGGTATAATTTAAGAGTCAGAAGACAAGAAATATCTTTTGCTTCTTCAGTTTTCTTGTCTCTAATCTCCTTAAGGTGAATGTGCTTGTATACAGACTGCTGCACACGCAGAGATGCACTTGTGCACCGGGTGAGAGGAGGAGCCCTGAGGAAACTCTAGAGGTGTCTGGATGAGGCAGAGTGATGGCAAATCACAGGATCCCATGCCTGGAAGGAGAGCCACTCCATCTTTTCCAACCTCTGCCTTCATACCCATTTAATCTGTTCTGTGTCCTTTCTTATTATTCTCTATCTTTCCACTTTGCCTTTAGATACAGAACATGGAAAACCTTTTCCCTGACCTGAATAAGCATTTATGAGCAGTTACTTCCCGAGTTCGATGAATATTTTTAGACCTTAGAAAGCACTGTGGTTGTAACTTTCTATGAATGATGATGTCAGTTAAAATCTTATTACAAATATGATCACTGCTTAAACATCCCAGGTCTGGATTTCAGGATTCCTGAAGACTTGCAACATTAAGGGAACTCTTGCTAATGGGTTAACTAGTCAATATCCATGGTTAAAGCTGAAAGGAGGCCAAGATGCAAACTGGAAAATTCTGGGGGTGCCTGAAGGGCTCAGTGGGTTAAAGCCTCTGCCTTCGGTTCAGGTCATGATCCTGGGGTCCTGGGATCGAGTCCTGCGTCGGGTTCTCTGCTCAGCGGGGAGTCTGCTTCCCTTCCTCTCTCTTTGCCTGCCTCTCTGCCTACTTGTGATCTCTGTCTGTCAAATAAATAAATAAAATCTTTTAAAAAAAGAAAGAAAGAAAGAAAACCGGAAAATTCTGAAAGTTTGTGTCAAGAATTTCTAAAATGTTTTAAATGCAAAATAATTCACAAAAATATTATTTTAAATTGTTTTGAAGAATGTTTAATGGGATCTAAGGGCATAAGCTATGGTACTGTCTGTGAAACTCTAAATTCTAATCAGAATTTTGTTCGATCAGGTGATGATGCAAGGTTGCCTGGCCATTCTCACCAACTGCACCACAGAAAAAGCACATGAGCCTATGCACAGTCAGTTCTGCCCTTACATAATCGAATACACAAAACTTGACTCCCACGGTTAAGAAAAAAGGGATGGCAAGGAATGAAAAAGTTGAAAAGGACAATTCAAAGAAAAAGTGGATGTGATCCTCTATCCTGATATTCTTCCCCTCAACTATTTTTTATGCTCAACATTCCAGAATTGTTCAGCAATTCAAAAAAATCCTGAGAACAAAAAAAATGTGTCAACAGTACAACACATTGAATGTTTTTGCTGCTTCAAATGTACCCTCAAAGTCTTGCTTTTTTAAGCAGTAATTTGTATAAATGGCATAAATTGTCAACTCCTCTGCAATGGTGACCTGAGTTTTGTTTGGGTTCTGCACTGAGGTTTCTTATTCCACTTCCTTTCTGTCTGTCAAGGTATTTCCTAACACATCTGAAATTTGGGCTTAAATTGAGACCTAGTTTGACAATTGAGGTCCAGATTTATGAAGACCAAGACTCCTCCTGCTTAGTTTGATTTGAGAGAGAGAGAGTATGTGTGTGTCTGTGACTGTTTCTGTACTTCCTTGTTTTTTTCATCTTATCTACTTATTTACAGACAAAACATTAGACAAAAATCTATTTTGAAAACACTTTAATAAGAAAGATAGTAGACAAATTCTCATTTTATATAAAAGCCACTTCAACTATTAATCATGATTACAGAAAATTCCCATTGGGACAGGATATCATTTAATTTCCAAAAACTAGAGACAGTGACAGCACATATATATTTTTTAAAGCTCTCCTATGTAATAATTTTGTGTAAAGAAAGATTGTACAACCTAATCTTTGAAAGAGCTAAAATTACCAATCAAATATACATAACCTATTTCATTTGTGAAGGTCTTGATTTTATATATTATTTTGGCTTCGTTTTAACAAATATACTTGGCCATAATGAAAATAAACGTGCTGAAGTCTCGGAGGTCTGAGACAAGCTATAACACATTTCTGCACCACGGGGTGGGCTCGTGGGATACCTACTGAGAAAATGCATGCCCACTGAGCATGCCCAGACTATTAAAATGAATTGACATGTTAATGCTGACAGGAAAAGAGCACAAGAGAGCTTGCTAAATTACTGCTCAGTCAGGCACTAGGAATTCCTGAGTGGCTAACTCCTGAGCTAAACCCACAGCAAGCACAACAACAACAACAAAACTTTATTGTCAAATGCACCCAAACAAACAAACACGAACAGGGTTGTCATGTTAGTAATCCACCTACCCATAAATCATATGGATTTTAATCATACCTGCCACCTTCGCTGCTTATCCCCAGAGAAATTGTTTTCTTTTTGCTCCCTCCTTCATTCACTTTCAATTATCTGGAAGCTGTTTCGCGTGTTTATTTATTTATCTAAAGTTCACATACAGTATGCATGCACAAATTTTCTCCAGGGGTCTGGACCAGGCAGATCATACAAGGACGCAGTGGAGCGTAGCAGCTAACAGCTCAGATGAATGTACTCAGTCTCAAAAACCTGCTTTGGACCATGATGACAAGGAAAGGGGAGGACAGAAAGTAATTAGTGTGTGTACAATGATTGATTATGGCTTAATATTCAGGCATTTCACCTTTAGACCACTCTAGGTAGACGTAGAGAATGATGAAACAGGAAATCCTTGTGGTTTTTGATAAGCGAGGGAAAAAAGTTAAAAAAATAAAAAAACCTGCCTTTCTCTTCTGTGGAGGTGGAATAAAGTTTATTCACTTTTAAACAAATGTGTTTGATCAGTTCAGTTCACTGCATTTAAGAATTGTTCAAAATCTCACATATTAAGATGAGCGTAAATAAGTGACTTGTAGCCTTGGGCAGGCAGAGAGGAGACGAAAGGAAGCTGCACATTTCAGATGAAATTACCCAGTCTCGCCACCATGTTGTCTTACTCTCATGAACAACTTCAGAAAATGATGCCAATTTGGCTACTTAAGGAATAAGTAGTGAACTCTTCCTGACCTTTTCTCAGCTCTAGGAGGTGAAAGAGTAGCACAGACCCATTGTGGAGCCTATATTCTTTAGACACAAAAAATCATTTTCATGAGACAAAATTGGGCACAAGGTAAATATGCTAGTTCTGGGAAATTCAAAAGAAAGAAAACTTTTACTTTATTATAGCTGTCAAATTCAAGGGGTTTTTGATGCTGTGGAGTAAGTCATGATGGCTTTTTATGCACATTCTGATCTATACTGGCCAAGCTGTGTATCAGCTCCATCTCTAGCTAGAATCTGTTTAGAACACCCATAGAAATTAAAAGGATCACATGGAGCTTGACATTTTGCAAAATGAAAGAATAATGGATATATTATGTTGTGAGAGTTTTTTTTTTTCTTTTAATAAAAATGTCTAACTGACCCTTGGGAAGCTTGGCTGGAAGTTGAGAAGTCTGAATCATTTTTCTTTCTCTTTATGCTCAAAAAATATAAGTATATAATTTTTCAGCTTCATATTTCTTTTGATATTTCAGTAAATTTAACTTTCTTGTACATAAACCATAAATTAAATAGTCTAAGTTTACCCTAAAATAATTTGGTGTCTTATATTAACTTAGCAGTTTATATCCAAATGCCCAATAATCAAATATTCCTGCTCTATTTCCTTTTATGTTTTTCCTCATCATTGTGGCCAAGAACATGCCACAAAACACAAGAAGAGTTGGATCTTTAATCTCAAATCTAAATAGAATAAATAATCCATATCATATTGCATATAAAATCTTAGTCTTCCTAAGTGCTAGAATATTTATGCAAAGTAGGCCCTTAAGAAAATATTTGGGGGTGGAAAACATATCATTGAGTCACACTTCACTGACATTTTACTATCACACATCCATATTTTAAAGTTTGTGATCATGATTTCATATTTTCTATAATTGCACTTAAAAAATTCTAATCACTAATTTATTGAAGATATTTATTTAGTACCTAATGTATGTTGGGTAGGTATCAATCACAGTGTCTTCATTGAAGTAGTCCTTAATTGTTGCATAGATATAGATACAGATATAGAAATTGATATATAGATATACCAGTCTCTCCCTATCTATCCACCTCATTCCAAAAATATCAACTGCAAAGTTCAAGATTAGATTAAACTGAACATGAGTTAGCTGCCCTGAAATAACCAAAATATGTCAGTTGTTTTTAACGTGGAAAGGAAAAAGGTCAACAGTTTGTATTGCTCTATGGGCATTACAGAAGTGAGAAGACAAGGGAGCCCAGAACAGAACATAGAGCATCACAGAACTGCAGAAATCCTCAGAAAGACTGAGAAGGAAGAGTCAGAGAGATTGAAGGAGCTAGGGAGAATGTGAAATGGGAAGAGAATATTTCAAGACAGAGAAGTCAACGTTGCCCAAAGGTTAAACAACATGAGGACTGAAAAGGATCTTTTGATTTAGTAAGAAGACATTGTTGCTGATCTTGCCAGAGTGGTGGAGTAAAAGCCAAATGGCAGTGGTTTTAGAAATAAATAGAAGAAAATGAAGATATGACTAGAATCGAAAAAGTATTTCTAAGAGTTTTTCACTGAGAGGGGAAAGAGAAAGATAAGACCATAGCTAGAGCAGGGATCTGAGTTGGAAGGAAGATTTTGGGGACGCCATACTACAATCACCTACACTGTAGTCTGTGTCTGGTTCCTGGAATTGTGCAGCACACAGACCGAGCAGCCCTATCCAGTGTCACTGTTACTGTTTCTGTGTTTGGTCAGTCATTTTTTAAATAGGAGAGTCTTTAGCATGTTGAAGTGTTCATGCAAAGTGGCCAATAGTGAAGAATAGGTTAGAGATACTAGGGAAAGAGAGAGATGTTCAAAACAAGTGTGATTAAGGATTGGCCACAGGGGTACAATGGGGCACCTCTTCTTCTCTAAACAAGTATGAATTCAGGTGAGCTTGTATCCTATCACTCGCAGTTCTTCCATAGATGTACACATGGCCAACCTACATAAAAAAGCCCATTTGTGCCCTGGCCAAACCATTTATAAATTTTATCTTTTATATCAGGACCATGTGACATTACTTATGTGAAATAGAAGAAATTTTAGCTGTTTTTTCACTGTCCTATCCCTAACTTCTAGAGCACAGCCAATGAGAGGTGCTTAATTAATATTTGTAGCTATTTTAGTAATTTGTAAAGTTATGTTATTTCCTTGAAGAAGATACTGTTTGTCCAGACAACAGAGAATTCACCTTTTTTTTTCTCATGTTGACAGATTTTGATTTTGTTCACACATATCCTCCATCTCTTCCCCAGCAACTCAAGAGAATTGGAATTAATTGGTCTTAGCAAGTTGCAGTTAGCCTATCAGTCTGCTTTCCAGGGAATTGTTTTATGGTAGGCATGTATGTGGTCCAGGACTGGCCAATGAAATACCTGGAGCCACTACCTTAAGGGATTCTGGAAAATGTTTCCTTGCTAATAAATAGAAATTTAGAGAAGAAATACATTGTTATCTTCCACTCTGTATCAATTTGTCTCCATTTTACACCTGAAACTAGGGCACCCATTTTATAAGCATGTAAAGAACAAACTTGCTGAGATTACTAGGGAAGAAAAACTTCTGCCGTTGAACAAGTTAACTCTGACTTTGTTTACTCACTCAACTGTATTCCACTGCCACCCTACCAAGTGCCAAGGGATAGTTGAAACAATAGCCATAATCCCTAATATGAAAAGTTTATAATCTCCTTGTTTTGAAGACAATGTGTCTACAAATAGGCTAGAAGACACAAAAAAAGCTTAACAAATAAGTTTTCCTATCTGAAGGCTTGTCTGGGGACAGGTCTTCTTACAAATTGACTTAGGCTATTGACATATTTAGCAAAATAGTTCTAATATAATGTAATACAGTCTTAGGAGTGACATTCCATCACCTTGTGCATATTCTATCGGTCAGAAGCAAATTACAGGTCCCACCCAAATTCACAGGGAGGGGATTATACCCACCCTTGAATGAAGGAGTTTTCAGTCATCTTAGCTTATCTACCACAGTCCACCATTTGGCTATCAATAATAAACATCCTTTCAACATGTAAAATAAATTCATCCCCTCCACAGTTTCCAAGAGTCTTATGCCAGTGTAGCACCAGCTCAAAATTTAAAAGCTCATCATTTAAATTAAGTCCAGGTAACAACGAGGTTTCTGGACATAATTGTTAAGAACAGATAGCTTTGAGACATTTCTCTCCTGTAATGCTGAAAACACAATTATCTGCCTCTAACAAACTCAATATAAAGTGGTGGGACAGACAGAAATAACATTTATAGACATTCCAGTTCAAAAGGGGGGAAACATGGAAGATAAAAACAAGTCAACATTCCATGTCAGTTCTGAAACCAGCCTAGCAAATGTTTGGCTTTTTTTAAATTAGATTTCAAGGACTGGGAATAATTCTCTGTGGTTCTAGGCTTCACTGTATGGCTCTCAGTTTGTTTTTTGGGTCACTCTTCCTTCTTCATGAAAGGTGCACCAGTTTTCGGTTGACTACATCTAGCAGTACCTCCTGCCGGTAGAATTGTGGAGGTCTGACATCTTCATTTCATATCGTACTCTGTTTTTTGTTGGTTTTGTTGGCTTTGTTTTTTGTTTGTTTGTTGTCCAAGCTGATAGTGACTTTTTAAAAAATTTTTATTTAAATTCCAATTACTTAACATACCATGTAATATTAGTTTCAGGTATATAACATAGTGATTCAACACTTCCATCTACAATAGCCAAATTATGAAAACAGTCTATGCACTCATTGACTGATGAATGGATAAAGAAGATGTGATACACACACACATACACACACACACACTGGAATATTACTCACTCATAGAAAAAGATGAAGACTTGATATTTACAATGACGTGGATGGAATTAGAGTGTATCATGTTAAGCAAAATAAATCAAAGACAAAACCCATATGATTTCACTCATATATGGAATTTAAGAAATAAAACAAATGAACAAAGGGGGGAAAGAGAGAGACAATCAAGAAACAGACTGTTAACTATAGTGATAGTGACTTCTTTATCAAAACAATCATCTCAAGTATTTTCTAGGTCTCCTATGGATTTTAATGAGGTTCACATCATTAAACAAAACCCCGCTCCATGATCTTTTTGAGACAATCTCTCTAACCTGGTGTCCTGCTAAAATGGTGACAGTGAATCTCTTAATGTTGACTCCAACACCTCTCTGCCAGTCTGGAGAGACTGAGAATTTTCAAAATCATCAAATCTTGGTTCTTTTTCAGTAGTTCTTCCCTTAATTTTTGCCTTCTTACATTTTACTACAATCAGGAAGCATAAATAGGACAATACCTTCACGGCTCTGCTCAGAAATCAGCTATATAGTCAAATTTATCACCTACATTTCTGCTTTTCATATAACGGCAGGAGACAATTTTGCTGAGCTTTCTGCTACTGTATAATAAGAATCCCTCTTCCTCCAGTTTTCAACAGCACACTCTTCATTGTGGGCCCTCAGTGATAGCATCCTTAGTGTCTAGATATCTGCCCAAACTAGGCATTTTCTATCCTGCTTATCAAAATTCCTCCTGCCTCTGCCCATAGTGTGGTTTAAAGCCACTCATGGATTTTTAGTTATTAGTTTTCTATACCATGTAACAAATTACCACAACCTTAGTGGCTTAAAACAA